GCCTGACGTTATAAACACTTAACTATTCATTATAAAAAATATTATCATGCATAACATATGATTAATACATTGTTTAGCTTGGTCTACCCTTGATTAGTAAGTGACTACACCGAAGGAAAATGAATGAATGAATGAATAAGCTTGGTCTGAAAATGTTTTAAAGGGATAGTTCACTCAAAAATGCTAACAATTTACTCTCACTCAAGTGATTCGAAACTTGTATTGATTTCTTTCTTCTTTTGAACGCAAAACAAGATATTCTGAAGAACGTTGGGGGAAAAAACAGCCATTGACATCCATAGAATTAACAAAAACTACAATTCAATGCTGTTTTTTCCCCAACATTTATTCAGTATATCAGAATAAACGAACTCAAACATGTTTAAAACTAGTGGAGGATGAGTAGATCATGCCAGAAGATTCATTTTTGGGTGAACTGCCTCTTGAATATGAAGTTGCTTTTTGACCATTAAAAACCTGTGTTTGAAATTATATAGACTTTTTTCTTGGCTGCTGCATGGAGGTTGCCATAGCGACGAGCGTCTTGCGGTAGAATAGTTAGAACTTCCTTTTACATCGTTTACAATAGGTAATTTGCGCACCAAAAATGGGTTTCAATAGCGTTTTGAATGGATTACAGAGTTGTTTTGTGACATACAACTTAGAAAGGTGTGTGTTAAAGCCGTTATAATCTGTCAGATGTGGTTCAAGCACGAGAGAAAAACATTCTTCTAGTTCAGAAATACAGTGTGTGTTTCCCCAGCCTGTCAGCGGCTCTTCAACACACACACGCACGCACGCACGCACGCACGCACGCACGCACGCACGCACACACACACACACACACACACACACACACACACACACACACACACTGCATTATAGAGCAAACCAGATTACTGGCATGAAACTTAACAGGTGTATAAGTCATGCAATTTACAAAAATGACCAATAAAAGTCTGTTACTGATACTCTGCTGCTGATTTGCTGTTCATTCTAATCGCGAGCCGTTTATGTTTCATTTTGTGTGTTGTTTTTACGACGGTTTGTTTTTTTGTCAATTCAAAATGACTATAGCCTATATTTTCACATTGCCACAGTTATTAAATCTGTGTGTCAGTGGGACAGTACAGTAGGCTGTGTGTGTCAAACATTTTGGTGAAGTAAATGTGTTTAGGCTGGTTATATATTTGAAAATAAGAGATAATGTTTACTTCAGCGATGACGGGGCTCCATTTAAACTGCAGAAGATGCCGTCTGACAACGAGGGGAAAACGCCTAACAGCAGCTGTTTTCCATCCCATTAGATTACATTTCTTAAATGATCAGTCCAGGAGGTGGTGCTGATCAACAGCAGTATTAGTTCAAAGATGATAAAAGCAGGGAAAATAGATTAAAACTATAGTTTCAAAGCTGTCCAAATGTGAATGTTTATACGCATCAGCTGCCGACTGGAAGTTCCTAGCATTCTCCTTGCACATACACGCAAAGCATAATGGGTAATTTTGCATTCTAAGAAAATGGTCTATATACTTTATATTCTATGAGTGAAATTTTTGTGGTACTAGTTTTAAGGGTCCTGATTAAAAAGGGGGTACAACTTAATCTATAATGGGGCCTGAAGCAGAACTTTACTGAAAGAGATATAAGGTGTGCCATTTTGCACATATGGTCTGTTCATACTGTCCAGGTGTCCCAGAAAGCACAGAGGCACCCTTTTCGCATCACCAGGGGAGCTGTCACACAAAATAAGCTTTTAAAATGCACAATGACATGGGCTGGGAATGAGAGAAAACTCAAGATTTTTTTTTGCCTGAGCTTCATGTTTTTAAAATGCTGAGTAAAGCTCAAAACAAATGTCTAATGTGTGAACAAAACTTTAAAGTTTGCATGAAAGTAAAACTAAGAATGTTAATTTAGCACACATTGTTAGTCTGAAGGTGAACAATAAATCAATCCAAGTTAATCCACTGATTTAAAAGTTTGTTTAGGTAATCTTTAATCACAATCTGACCGTGTTCTTTTGCTCTGGAATGGCAGCCCTTCTCTGATAACATGCTATAAAAAAATGCGATAAAAATGCTTAGCCACACACCTTAAACCAATAGTTTGCTGTGAATGAAGCATGAGTGGAGAAGTGAAAGAATAAAATTCAGCTCAATAATTATATTGTTTCAGCTTTAAATGTGTCACCTTACAGAAACAAGTCAGCAGCAGGTTCACGCAGAATTTAAGTTGTGCATGATCTTCTAGTTTATAGGATTATTTTAGCTCAAGTTTAAAAGGACTGTGGGTTAATATGTCAAGCGTGAAATATCTGTGGTCAACTTGTGGAGATAGTGGAGATATTTTTAAGAATATTTTTTTCTGATGCATAATTCGATCCTAAATATTTGCTTAGAGATTAGTGAATAATATTAACATAGGCCTTTTTCATTTTTTATTAACTTTCATTTTTTTTCTTCTTTTTCATTCTTTTATAACCTGTTTTAACACATTTTTTAATTTGTTTTATCATTTTTTTATCATTTTTATGATTTTTTTATACTTGTCTCTTTTATTCCTGTTTACGTAAAGAACTTTGATTTGCCACTGTGTATGAAATCTGCTATATAAATAAATTACCTTGCCTTGCCTTACTGTATAGGGATGCAAACATATGAACAATAATATTGTTTGGCATATAGGGTATTTTTGGAATTTCATAAATGTAATGTTCATTTTCTAGATAAAACCTGATGGAAACAAAAATGGATGGATGGATAAAAAAATGGAAACAAAGCAGAGCAAAGTAAACAAAACTAAACAGAAAACAAAGTGAAGAAAAATAACTGATTTAACTGATTTACAGGGCACCTATGATTAAAATCATCTTCTGTAAGCTGTTTGGACAGAACGGTGTGTAGGTATAATGTGTCCACAGTCATATTGGAGTGATAGAAACACAATAAGTCTCTTTTTTAAATTTCCTGACGTTAAAATAGGATCCAAATCCCTCCCATTTTGAGGCCCACCGCAACATGACATAGGGGTGCAGTTTTCCCAGCCACTGAATTGATTGACAGCCATGTATTACAGTTTTTCCTCAGCCGCTTTGGTGCGTTTCTCACAACACCAGTGCATTTCTGCACAAAAGTTTATGCATTTCTCAAAACAATTAGTACAAACTGCAAAACCTTGCTGATAACCTGCAAAAGCGCGTCACATGCTCAGAATGGATAGTTCAATCCTCAAAAGCAAGTATTGATGTCAATCAAAGTGTCAGTATCATCAAAGTGAAAAGTCCTGTCACCATCATTTATGAACAAGATAGTCAAATGGCTAGTCAATAGTCATGTTTTCACATGCAAAAAAGTCAGTTTGTGGTGACACTTGCTGAAAATGCTCAAGACAGCACTATATACTATTAGCACAGCCATTTGAAAACTGCAGCAAAGTTAGACATCACTGCATTTAGTGGGGTATCTGAGTACAAGACACTGAATATGTATGTTTCACATGTTTACTGCATTTGCTCGTTGCAATTCTAATTTGTTCACAGCATTGTGCAAAAGTAAACACACCCTTATTTACAACAAGCATAAGCTTTCTTTGGTTAAAGCTGGGCACAACTGTAAACTATATTGCAGGACATATTGGAACTGAGCCTACAACATACACAGGTCTGTAAATAATTCATGAAATTGTTCAATTTAGAAGACATTTTCAAGAAAATAAAGATTAATTTTTTTTTAAATTTGCTTGACATATTTTTGACAGCTTGTTCAACATTTTTTTATGTAATCACTCAAGTAATGAAATGAGGACTATTAGCTTTATATGGGATGACTATTCAGCATTTACAAGTTTAGTTAATTTTAAACGACATGACATAAGCAAATGATAATGTTAAAAAAATAGAGAGTTGTATGAAAGCAATTGATGCATGTCCAAAAGCATCATTTGTTGGAAGGAATGAGAAACTGCTACTATGATGTGCACAAATGACTAATTGTTTTGAGAACTGCATTAACTATTGTGCAAATGTAAATAGTGTTGTGAGAAATGCACCAAAGCGACTGAGAAAAACTGTAACATGTCCCTGTAGTAACGCGTATAATCATATCATCAAGACACTACATCCGCAAAGCAACCAGGATTAAAAAATCTGACTCATCATTGCAGAAAGGTGTGAATTAACTTCACAACAAATGCATCAAATAATCATTGGAAAAGTTCTTACTGTAGTATTTCTTACAAACGTTACGTGAGATCTGCTTTCTTCATGTCAGTCACTGTGCTGTTTATCTGACGCAGCCAAGGTGGAGATTAACGCACACTCTAACAGGCATGTGGGAATGGTGGGCGGGGAGAACTAGCATTAAAGGCACAGGCAACAAAAACAGCTACATAGTGTTCAGAGCAGAAAATCCCAATAATCTGAATGGTATAATAAATAATCTGATGGGTGTTTTGAGCTGAAACTTTACAGATAACTGTGGAGATACAAAAGATGTATCTTAAATCTTGAAAAATGGGTATAATAGGTGCCCTTTAAAACTGAAAATAGCCATATCAGAGATGTTGGATGGTGCTCTTTTGACTCTGCCGACAAGCAACCATTCAGCAACACTAAAGAATGCATCAGGGCCAACCCAATTGCCAACACTGCTGGTTCTGGAAGAAATTTCCCCATTAATTTTCTCCCTACAAAATTTAAATAAAAAGTCTTTGTTAAGGGGCACAAAATAGAATTGGGATCAGACCATATACTACAGCCAATTTCGTTTATTCAATTTACCTATACCGCAAGAACTGTGGGGGAAACCGGAGCACCCAGAGGAAACCCAAGCGAACACGGAGAGGCAAACTCCACACAGAAACGCCAACTGACCCAGCCGGGACTCGAATTAGCAACCTTCTTGTTGTGAGGCGACAGTGCTAACCACTGAACCACCTATCACCACAAGTGCATTATAGTTACAAATATATAACAACTTTCTACTCGCACCCTCACAACCAACCACATTACCCTAGCAACCTTACAGCATTACAAAATATCAGCACTTGAATAAATCAAAGATGGACTCTTTGTTCTCTGAAAGCAAGTCCAACATGTCTGATGCTCGCCTCACAGTTTCATTAGACATTATGTAGTTATTTTTTTGCTCCTGCGTTCCATCACTTGTTTATATCTTTGTTTCAAACTCCTGTAAAAGCAACAGTTGTTTATTTCTTTCGTTCCGCCTCTAGCGGGTCCAAAGTAGTACAGCAGTGGTTCAGCCATTGGAAGTAGGCGGGGAAAGGCGAGTGATGCTGCCACACAGAGCCCCTTCCCCTCCCTCTCGCGCGCGCTCCAGCTCCGTGGCCCGACTCTGTGCTCTGCTCCGGAGTGAAGGATCCCGCTTTGTTGAGAAGGTGTTCCAAAACACGCGGGCGAATCCGAACGCGAACACGCACACCGGCCCGTGGAACGCGGCTTCATCAAAATATGTGCACTGTCTCTTTAAGATCCCTTCTCTGGTCCGCTTCGTATTGATCAATCCACCATTTTCCAGCGCACAGCACTGAGCGGCGGCGGCAGAGAGAGAAAGCCCTACCTGGAGACGCCAGGCAGGACCGGGGGCAGAGTCATGGCAGCCAACATGTACCGGGTCGGAGGTAAGAGATCATGGTTGGCTGAAAAAAATGTCGTGCCCCTTTTATGTGTGTCGCTCTCGTTCATGCTTTTTCGCAACAGGGCTTAGCAGTTTTAGGTTTGTCCTTCCTCTTTTATTTTTTAAAGTACTGTGGGACTACAGTGAGAGAGGAGGATGAGGATGGTGAATGCGAGATGAAGAGGGGCACTCTCTCGTTTCGGGACCCCGAGAATGTTTTACGCTACTACAAACTGGCGCAACATTTACTGCCGTTAGCATGATGTAGCGTGTGCAAGTGTCATTGAGTGTTAGTAACAAGCGGGCAACTCTCAAATTTACACCGAAGAAACGCGTTTGAGCTTTTAAAGTTAAAGTTTGAGGAGCACGCCTCACTTTAGGGACTCTGGCTGCTTGGAGAATTTAGTTAAAGTTGGTTGTAGATTTGCACTTTCGGACTTTCTCCTTAAAAATATAAATTCATAACAGTATTTGCAATTTCTAAATAGGCAAAACATTAGCAGCTATTGACTATCAAAGTACAACATTGCTCCCAGTCAATAAATAGTGCTAATATTGTTTGAAGTCATATTTCAGACCAGATATTTAAAGTATCATGGGAAACACTATATGAAGCATCTCACAAGTCCACTGAATATGTAAATATAAAACCTCATGTAAATATAAAAACGTCACCTCAGTAGTTAGAAACACTGTTTTGAAGGTAGATGATGGTTGATGTTCAAACCGTTGACTTTAAAATTAATGTAAAGTTTTTAAAATATTTCTACATTCAGACTTTATCTTTAATAATATGATTTCAGAAAAATATTAATTGCAAATTCTAAATAGTGAAATTATATTAGCAGCCAAAGACTATCAAAGTACAACATTGCTCACAGTCAATTAGATAGTGCTAATGTTGTTTTAAAGTCATGCCTACGTGTGATTTCAGCCGGAATATTCAAAGTACCATGGTAAACAATGTATGGAGATGTCACTGAATGAATGTGCGAATATAAAACCAACTTTACCTCAGTATTTTAAAGTATATTTTATGTAATATGAACAGAGAAAGTTTTGGCATATAGAGGTAAAGCTAATACTTGAAGTCCGTCTCAGTGAGAAGCTGTGGTGTATGAAAAAATACCAAATATAGACTATATAACGCTTGGTGTTAAAGAATAAACTTATTTGGGATGTGTTTTTACAAATTTGTCAAAACACACTGCTTTTTTCCACCCCTAATTTGGGTCACACATAAAAATTGTTCACAATTATGTGTAATTATCTGAAGCTCAGATACACAGTTAAAGGAATAGCCTAGTTAACCCCAAAATGTGCCCACTGTTCCACGGAACACAAAAGGAGATGTTAGGCAGAATGACAGCCTCAGTCACTGTTCGCTTTCATTGCTTCTTCCATACAATGAAAAGCGAATGGTTACCGAGGCTGTCATTGTGCCTAACATCTCCTTTTGTGTTCAGTGGAAGAAAGAAAGTCATACAGGTTTGAAACAACATGTGTGTGACTGAACGACGTCAGTAGTTTTGCGCAGTTTTCGGGTTATCCTGATTGCGCTTGGCTCAGGAACTGATTCTCTGTTGGTATCAATTATCCATTAGGATCTCTGCTGTTGATTTTCAGGCAATGAATGTGTGCTTACAGTGTCCGGTGTGTAATTATTGGTTTAATGAGAGTATTTGGACTAGAAAGTTTGCTGTTGATGTAGGAGAGCTGCTTGAACATGAAGACAATATGAACTTTTATCAGGAGCATTATGAGTGAATTTACATATGTTCTAATGCGTTATAATTCTTAGTGCTCTGCATAGATGTGACTAGTGTTTGTGAATCAAGTATATGGTATTCAGATTAGGGCTGTACGATATTGGAAAAATCTGACATTGCAATATATATTGTGATTTACTTCGTTATACTTGAAAAGAATTAGGGTCCACTTTATTTTAAGGTTCAGTTCTTGTTCTTTGCAAACCCTTTTGACTTTTGCTTTAATAAACTCCTTACTAATAGTTATTAAGGTAGTTTAGGTGTTGGGTAGAATAATATCATTCAGAAGATGTGCTTTGTAAGAACTAATGTGCAGCCAGTATCTCAATACCATGCATGCTAATAAGCAACTACTGGTAGTTAATAGTGAGAATTGGTCCCTAAAGTGTTACCTAATGTATTCATTTTGATTGACTGGGATGATTCTGTAGGCGACTGAATCAGAACATACAATAAACAAACTACAAGCAGAGATAAATGCAACAAAAGAATGATTAAAGTGAAATAAACAGTGCATACATTATGGTTTTGTATATGTAAATGTAAAAATTACACTGCAAAGTCAACTCAACATTGCATATCTTTGAGATGTGACTATTGTGGATGCACACATTGCGATATCGTTCCTAAAATGATGTATTGTGCAGCACTAATTGATATGTTTTTTATTTTTTATTTTTTTTTAAAGCGCTCTTGATATATCTGCTATATTTATGAAAAGGTGCAATGTGGATGCATGCAGTATATCCATCCCAAAAGCTAATGATACAGATGAACTGGTATAAATGGTGGAATTTATTTTGAAGGGTTTAAGGCATAGTTGACCAAAAAATCTATATTTACTCACTCTCAAGTGGTTCCATTCTTTTATGAGTTTCTTTTTTCAAAACGAATATTTAGAAAAATGTTAGAAACCTGCAATCTTTGAATTCTATAATAGGGAAAACATCCTTTTGAAGTCAACAAATACAAAAAAGAAAAACAGGTTTGACAAGTGTATGGGTGAGTAAACGATGACAGAATAAAACATTTTGGGTGAGCTATACTTTAAAATTCCCATTCCATACTCCTAAAACAATTTGAGAGCAAAAAGTGATCTATTTTCAGTATCTCTTCTCTCAGTATTTTTGCTCATCCACTGAAAGTTCAGGCAAGCAAAACTTTTCAGAAAGTTTTACATTTATCAAAAGTAATCAATATCATGAATCATTAAACAATTTAATCTAAGTCAATTGAAGAAGTTTCTCATCACTTGAATGCTCTGAAATGTCCAAGTTTTGCTTGCTTGAACTTTCAGTGGATGAGCAAAAATATTGAGAGAAGAGATACTGAAAAATGGATCACTTTCTGTTCTGAAAATGTTTTATGAGTTTTGAAAGGGAATCTCTGAATCCTGAAGAGATCTCTGATGTCTTGATTGAAATATCTGTAAACCTTAAAGCTTAACAAACCTATTTTAAATACCTCAAAGCTGAGTAAATAGCTAAGTTTCCATGCAAAGGTGCAAATTAAATTTATGCGCAAATCTGGAATATCGCATGTAGAACATGCAAATAAAGCAGCGTTTCCATCCAATGAGTCTAAGAGAACAAAATTGTCACTTCCTGATTAACTGGGGCTAAATATCAAAAGTAAAATGGAATTTGCTGTGGTAGGAGAAGCTGTGTGAATCTTTTCTTTATTTAATAAATTACTCAGCAAATTGAATTACCTCAGAAGACAGTTGAGATGCTGAGCACAGACGCTCTTGACAATTATGGAGGGAATTAATAATACAATAACACTAATACTGAAATGATTCATGCATTTTAGAATAACCAAAACAAAATTTCAGATGTTTTACAATGTGCTCAGCCTGCTGGTTTGACAATTCTCACGCATTTTTATCAACACATGATCTTTTGTAACAAAATCACATGACCTTTTTTAATGCACATACTGGAATTTGGTATATCAAAGTTTGGTAAAAGTGTTTCCATCGTAGTTTATGCTCATCTTTTCTTATTGAATAAAAAGTTTATTCTACTCAGTTATCCGCGTACATTTGTATGCACCTTTTCAAAATGTATGCACTTCATGCCGTTTCCATCAACCGTTTTTTATGCACATAAATGCATTAATAAAAAAAGTAATCAAAACATTCAGAACCAATAATCAATCAAATTTTTCCAGGTCTGTTAGTTTCAATTACTTGCCCTACCGTGTGTGGAGTTATGGGACCCTGCTTTGTTTGTTACCATTGTGTTACTTTGCAATACATTGAAGATTGAAGAAGCTGCGCTAGAGATTACTTGAGAGGGCGTACTTTCCATTACATTAAGATAATTTTTCAAATTAAAACCTATACAGAAAATGTAAGAAATGTACTGTTTAAAATATGATTTACTGGATATACAAGAGTTATTTTATTTAAAATAGATAGATACTGCTTATTATCTACTTTTAATATGAAAAACATTGAAAATATATATTTTTCCAAAAGTGCAAGTCAATTACTTTCACTTTTTTTTAATAAGAAAAACAAAGACTGTTAGTTTTAGGCAATATGTGTTTTAATTTCAGTTGTTCAGCATTGATGTTCAATAACTAATCATAGATAGTGGATAGTGTGTGTTTCCTTTAATTATTTTTAAATCAAGTAATGCACCCTTTATTCAAACATCTCTCTCTTGTAATCTGTGAGCTAATTTACTGTACAAAACCTGTCAGTAAACTATGAGGGCAAAATAAATAAATAATATATTCATTTATTAATCGTAATCCAAGTTAAATAATAAAAATGTAGTTTTTTAGGCAAAATCGCCCAGCCCTATTTCTTTCGTTCCCATGTTTTAACAGTGTAAGATACTTTTATTTTTATGAAAATGTGTACTTTTTCACATTTTGACAGCTCTGTGCTATTTTGTATGCAGTTAGCAAACTCTGAACGGTCCCTACTCTCACTGGATATCCTGTACAGAGATGAATCACAGGTTTGTGAATGCGTTCGTTCAGGACTTTAAGATCATTGCGCAAATCTCTGTTACTCTGTTACACGCTCCTCCCCGTGTTTGCAACATCTTTGGCTGCTGAGGCTGAAAATGGCCCCGGGCGCTCCATCCAGCAGAGAGTCTCCAAGGGCCTTTACACCTCTGGCTACTGCATCACCTGATACATATCGACATCTCCTGCGCTCGCTCACTCGCTCTTCATTTCTCTTATTCTCTCATCGCTCTAGCGTACACCAAAAGAAGCA